GGAGTAGGTGCAGAGTAAATAAAAGTATTATCTAGAGGATGATAAATTAGACACATGTGCAACTCTTGGGTATCTTTATTGAGGAAACGTTTCGCCACACAGTGGCTTCATCAGTCCATACAAAGGAGAAACTTGAAGAACAGGAGGAGAATGAGGTAATCAGTCCCTCAACCTTGAGTCGATGTGGTCAGTCCATCAATCTTGAATAGATCATTCTATTCAAGATTGATGGACTGACCACATCGACTCAAGGTTGAGGGACTGATTACCTCATTCTCCTCCTGTTCTTCAAGATTCTCCTTTATATGGACTGATGAAGCCACTGTGTGGCGAAACGTTTCCTCAATAAAGATATCCAAGAGTTGCACATGTGTCTAATTTATCAACATGTCGGTTCTCTGAACCATTCATCTACAAATATTATCTAGAGGGCTGAGGAGGGGTTGTTGAGGTGTTTTGGTCACTTAGAGAGGATAGCCAAAATAGGATGGCTTGGAGGGTGTTTAACCCTTTCAAGGTCGAGAGGCCCTCTCCGAAACTTGTTCTCAGGGTCGAAAATTTTTCGTAATTTTTTTTTTTTTTTTTTTTTTTTTTTTTTTTTTTTTTTTTTTTGAAAAGATAGAGAATCTTTTCCCGATCATGATGGCACCAAAAGTATGAAATTTGATGGAAAATTTACGGAATTGTACTCTCGCGAATTTAGTGGTCTCGACGCTGTTTACGCATCGGCGATTTTGCCCACTTTGAGCCCTATTTTTGGCCAATTGCAATGTACTAGTCGACAAAAATCATAACTATTTCACTAGAACTCCATTTTTTATATCAAATGAGTACAAGAAACCACCCATTTTCCGATTTCAACTATCCAATACAGTGGTTAGAAATTAGCAATTTTGCCAATTTCACACAAATTTCAAAAGATGCCAATTTCCAAATAGGGTCGAGAATAAACAAGAAAGACATTCCTGGCACTAAAATAACATTCCCTCTGTTCATTAGTCATGTCCCCAGGCCCCTCTTACATTTCTTTTGCTTTCCACTTTGAATTTTTATTCTCACAAAAAGCAGAACATTTACTGTTATGCAGACTACTGCATTAGTGTAAAAATGGTATAAATAATATCAGCACACTTGTGAAAGAATGTTAGACTCACCAGTTTACGTGTATTGGACGCGTGGCATGATTTGTTTACCTTTGAACCTTGGCAAAAATTGAACATTTCTCCTACTTTGAGCTTAATTTCAAGGTACTTTTCATTGTGACACCAATCAAAGTCATCTCAATTTCTGTAATATGTCTTCCATTCTATAAAATGAGACCAGGAAAACTAGAATACAATCATAAATACCATACGAAAATACAGTGCAAATTCACTGTTTTAAACCAAAAACACAGTCAAAGTTTTTTTTTTTTTTCTCATTACGCACTGTGTGCTGCAGGATTTTTTTATATTGTGCACACTGACCATATACAGTGGACCCCCGGTTCGCGAAGTCATCAGTATCCGATAAATCCGGTATCCGAAGCATTATATCGCAAAAAAATTGCCTCGGTTCCCACTACAAAACCCGGTATGGGATACGATTCGTACGAGATGTGTCCACGTGTTGCCTGAACTGCCCCATGTGTGCCAGTGTTTACAAGCCAGCCAGTGTGCGCGCATCTAAGGATACATTCGGTACATTCCATATTATCCATATTATCACTGTGTTTGGTGCTTGTTTCTGCAAAATAAGTCACCATGGGCCCCAAGAAAGCTTCTAGTGCCAACCCTGTGGTAAAAAGGGTGAGAATTAATATGGAAATTAAGAAAGATTTTGAAGGGTTTGGGGCTAACCCTGAGAAGTCTATGCCAGTTGTGGAATCCATTGTGCCTACTTCAAAAATTAAGGAAATGTGTGCACAGTGGGTTGAACTGCAAACCTTTGTGGATGAAAATAACCCTAACACAGCTATTGCAAGCTGTGCTGGTAACTATTACACTGACAGTGTTGTGAACCACTTTAGTAAAGCCATAAAGGAACGAGAGGTACAGGCCTCTATGGACAGATATATTGTGCGACAGAAGTCCAGTGACTCTCAAGCTGGTCCTAGTGGCATTAAAAGAAGAAGGGAAGTAACCCCAGAAAAGGACTTTCTACCTCAAGTCCTAATGGAGGGGGATTCCCCTTCTAAACATTAAAAACTTCGACACTCTCTTCTCCTCCCATCCCATCAATCATCACCAGATCTTCATTAAAGGTAAGTGTCAGTTATTCTATTGTGATTATTCTATTGTTATTATTGTTATTGTAATTATTCTGTTGCATTAAACTTAATATTTCATGTGGTAAAAGTTTTTTTTTTTTCATACTTTTGGGTGTCTTGCACGTATTAATTTGATTTCCATTGTTTCTTGTGGGGAAAATTGTTTCTCTTTCCGATAATTTTGCTCTACAATGAGCTCTCAGGAACGGATTAATAATGTGAATCGGGGGTCCACTGTAGACCCATTCTTTCATATGCAGGCCTACCAACTTTCTCTTGCTAGATTTGAGGGCGCTAGTATTTAGGCGTACTAGTACGTCAATGACCCTGGTGCGTAAGCCGTTCTAGTACGTCAGAAACCCTGAAAGAGTTAAATCTGCAGTGAAATGAAGGCCGAATTTGGGTTGTCCTGGGAATGGATGGTGGGAGGGGGTAAATGAGGTTTTGTGTGCAAGGAACTTTGACATTCAGAAGGCATATGTGAATGTATTAGATAGGATTGAGTGGAAGCAAATGGTTTTCGGACTTGACAAGCTGTTGGAGTGTGAGCAGGCTAACATTTTGTGAAGGAATTCAGGGAAACCAGTTAGCCAGACTTGAGTCCTGGAGGTGGGAAGTACAGTGCTTTCTCTCTGAAGGATGGGTGGAGATATTTACAGTTTTGAGTTGTAGTATTCTTGCACCTCTGGTAAGACAGTGATAGAGTGAATGATTGTGAAAGTGTTTCTTCTTTTTTGGGTTACCCTGCCTCAGGAGATGGTTGGTGTTGTGTTAAAAAAACTCCATAACTGGAACAGTGCACAAATAACCCGCACATAAGAGTCCGTAACTTATGATGACAGTTAACGGTCCAAATAAGAGCGAAACATCATCATACATTTCAGTCTCCCATGTGCGGGTTATTTGTGCAACACTACAAGCATCAGAAAATAAAATCCAGAATAAAAATAATCTCAAAATCGTAATGGTCATTGTCCCTAGCAAAACTTCAGTGACTCTGTAACTTTTTTGTTCTTGAAGTAACACTTATTGGAGGCAGAATTATACTGTGCTGTCAGGGTTTATTCTAGCTGATTGTCTGACAGTTGTCATAGGTCCTTTAATGAATAAGGTGTAATCCATTTTTATTTTGATAATTGTTGAAATATTGAGAAATGCCACAAACCAGCTGTTTGTATTCTGTCCTACACACAGCTGTTGGCCTTCTTCCCTTTAGTTTAAAACAAATGAGCTTTAAAATATTAATTGGCGACTGTCACTCAAAGCTCCAGGTGAATGTTTACTTTACACGCATTCTGCACTTCAGCAACTTAGGCCCACATCTCATGCTTCTCCAGCTCACTCTCACATCTCATGCTTCTCCAGCTCACTCTCACATCTCATGCTTCTGCAGCTCACTCCCACATCTCATGCTTCTCCAGCTCACTCTCACATCTCATGCTTCTCCAGCTCACTCCCACATCTCATGCTTCTCCAGCTCACTCCCACATCTCATGCTTCTGCAGCTCACTCTCACATCTCATGCTTCTCCAGCTCACTCCCACATCTCATGCTTCTGCAGCTCACTCTCACATCTCATGCTTCTCCAGCTCACTCCCACATCTCATGCTTCTGCAGCTCACTCTCACATCTGATGCTTCTCCAGCTCACTCCCACATCTCATGCTTCTGCAGCTCACTCCCACATCTCATGCTTCTCCAGCTCACTCCCACATCTCATGCTTCTGCAGCTCACTCTCACATCTGATGCTTCTCCAGCTCACTCCACATCTCATGCTTCTGCAGCTCACTCCCACATCTCATGCTTCTCCAGCTCACTCCCACATCTCATGCTTCTGCAGCTCACTCCCACATCTCATGCTTCTCCAGCTCACTCTCACATCTCATGCTTCTGCAGCTCACTCCCACATCTCATGCTTCTGCAGCTCACTCCCACATCTCATGCTTCTGCAGCTCACTCCCACATCTCATGCTTCTCCAGCTCACTCTCACATCTCATGCTTCTCCAGCTCACTCTCACATCTCATGCTTCTCCAGTTCACTCCCACATCTCATTATTCTCTGGCTCACTCTCACATCTCATGCTTCTCCAGCTCACTCTCACATCTCATGCTTCTCCAGCTCACTCCCACATCTCATGCTTCTGCAGCTCACTCCCACATCTCATGCTTCTCCAGCTCACTCTCACATCTCATGCTTCTCCAGCTCACTCCCACATCTCATGCTTCTGCAGCTCACTCCCACATCTCATGCTTCTCCAGCTCACTCCCACATCTGATGTTTCTCCAGCTCACTCCCACATCTCATGCTTCTCCAGCTCACTCCCACATCTGATGCTTCTCTAGCTCGCTCCCACATCTGATGTTTCTCCAGCTCACTCCCACATCTCATGCTTCTCCAGCTCACTCCCACATCTCATGCTTCTCTAGCTCGCTCCCACATCTCATGCTTCTCCAGCTCACTCCCACATCTGATGCTTCTCCAGCTCACTCCCACATCTCATGCTTCTCCAGCTCACTCCCACATCTGATGCTTCTCCAGCTCACTCCCACATCTCATGCTTCTCCAGCTCACTCCCACACCTCATGCATCTCCTGCTCACTCCCACATCTCATGTCTATCCTGCTCACTCCCACATAGCTACGACTTGCTCTAATACCTCTTCAACTTGCACCCATTTGTTTATTATGTATTATGTTCTAAGTAAATAATATTAGCACTTTGCACCTCAGTCTTGTTCATTTTATTTATAGGCGCAGGCAGCAGAGAAGGAGACCAACTCAGAGATAGCTGGCCCACAAGCTCGGATAGAGAAAATTAATTCTATATCTTCCTTACTGGAGACCCGAGAAGGCTTTGGGCTGGATTCGTTAGGTTCTTTAGGGCTTGGCTTCAGAGCTGCAATGCCTAAAATGCCTTCGTTTAGAAAAATTGTAAGTGTTAATGGTATACTGTATTATTATGTATTAGCTTTTATATACATATGTACCATCTGTGAAATGTCAAATAATTAATTGAGAGATGAAAAAAATTCATCCATTGAACATTATTATTTTATATATAGCTGTATTATTCTTTAAAGCTCATAATTGATGAATTTCATTACAGCGTAAAATCAAGCCACCTTCACCTCCATGTATGGATGAAGATAGTCGAGGAATGGGTTCTGATGAAGACAGTAAACAGTCAAGACAAAAAGCAGAGGAATCATCAGATTCTGATTCAGGGCCTGATGATCTTCTTCCTATTCAAAAAACTAAACCATCACCACCTCTAATAAAAAGAAAACCAAAATGGCCATCTGATGAATCAGGTTAGCATATCTATTAGTATATCATTACACTTTTTTCAAAGCATATCAATATCACTGCAGAATTGCACAAACTAAATAAGTCATTAAAGAAGCATTTTTATGTGGTTTTGTGTTTTTTAGTTTTCACTATTCTAAAATATAACATGAAGAGACTTGGGGAAACAAGTTTGTTGGATTTGTTTGTGTCTTGGAGGTGAGAAGTACAGTGCCTGCACTCTGAAGGAGTGGTGGGATGTTATATTTCAGAAGGTCATTTGAATAATGAGACCTGTTTTCTTCTTGCCTGAAGGCCAGATATTTTGTGTCATTATGTATCCTCTGGTAAATTAGTCAGGGTTTGTAACATGTGTTCTTTGGTAAACTAGTCAGTCAAGGTTTTAACATTATATATATATCTACTGGTAAGCTAATCAAGGTTTGTAATATTATGTATTCTCTGGTAAACTAGTCAGCATTTGTAACATTTTGTATCCTCTGGTAAACTAGTCAGGGTTTGTAATATAACATATCCTCCAGTAAACTAGTCAGGGTTCACAATATGTATTTTCTGGTAAACTAGTCAGAATTTGTATTATGTATTCTTTGATAAACTAGTCAGGGATTATAATATGTATTTTCTGGTAAACTAGTTAGGATTTGTAGAATGTATTCTCTAGTATACTAATGTGGGTTTTTAATATGTTTTCTCTGGTTAAAGTGTCATTGTTTGTGATGTGTTTTTATGTATTAACTTGTAAACTAGTTAAGGTTTTAAGAGGACATTACAGTTAGTTTTAGCCATTTAAGTTGAAGAAATTTCCAGATATAGAATCATTCTTTGAAATATTCTTGACTTGCATTTTTCACTTTGGTGAGTAGATTGTAAGAAGCATAGCAGCTCAAAGAATTTAATTTGTCATGTGTGAGAGTATAGTTATACCAACACTCTTATATGGGTGCAAAGTATGGGTGGTGAATGTTACAACAAGGAGAAGGCTGGAGGCAGTGGAGATGCCATGTCTGAGGGCAATGTGTGGTGTGAATATAATGTAGAAAATTTGTAGTTTGGAAATTAGGAGGAAGTGAGGGATTACCAAAACTATTATCCAGAGAGCCGAGGAGGGGTTATGAGGTAGTCCAGACATGTAGAGAGGATGGCTAAAACTAACTGAGGTGGAGGGAAGGCAGGTGGGGTCAGCCTAGGAAAGGTTGGAGGGAGGGGGTAAAGGAGGTTTTGTGTGTGAAGGGCTTGGACTTCCAGCAAGCATGCATGAGTGTGTTAGATAGGAGCAAATGGAGGCAAATGGTTTTTAGGACTTGACGTGCTGTTGGAATGTGAGCAGGGTAATATTTATGAAGGGATTCTGGGAAACCGGCAGACCGGACTTGAGTCCTGGCTATGGAAAGTACAGTGCCAGCACTCTGAAGGAGAGGTGTTAATGTTGCAGTTTTAACTGTAATGTATGTGCACCTCTGGCAAGACAGTGATGGAGTGAATGATAGTGAAAGTTTTTCTTTTTCGGGCCACCCTACCTTGGTGGGAAACGGCCAGTGTGTTAATGATAAAATAAAATGATCTTGCTGGCTAATATTCTTCCCTTGAGAAATTGCCTTTATCCTTCCCTAATGAGATGGTGGCAAAGCAGAATTTTGTTTTGGTTGCCCATTCCCTACATCAAAATAATGTTTCAAGAATTTTTTTCCCTATCGATGCGTGTAATGGCACCACAGAAATAATTTGGCATGCTGAGTTTTGCCTGTGAACTGCATCTTGCCCAGCCTTGGATTAACTCATAAGACTATTATGTGGTTTATTCTGTACCAGTGCTGTGTGTTGATATGTATGGCTCAAGGTTTGCTTGTTGTAAGCATTAATAAACTGAGTGAAAAAGCAGTTTCCTGGAAAGCCTGGCTTTAGATCTGGCTGCAAGACTGGATCAACTCTAGTAAATGATCATGGGAAAACAAGAAGTGTGTGTGTGTGTTTGTGCATGTATGTATTCACTGATGTGAGTTTTCCATTATGGTTCCATAATGAAGTGAGATATATGGCTGAATGGAGGTGTGGTTGTGATCAGTACTTGAAACAGATGCTAGAGGGAGCCAAATATACATGCACATAGATATAAATAATTTTATTCTCAAAATTAATTTAGTGGGCTATACGGGAGAAGGAGTTACTAGCCTATTGTTCCCGGCATTTTAGTTGACTTTTACGACATGCATGGCTTACGGAAGAAAGATTCTTATTCCTCGTCCCCATGGATATAAAAGGAAAATCAGTAAGAACAAGAACTATTAAGACAAAATCAAAGAAAACTCAGATGAGTGAGTATACATAAACGTGTACATGTATGTGTAGTGTGACCTAAGCGTAAGTATAAGTAGCAAGATGTACCTGAAATCTTGCATGCTCTGATCAATATTTAGTCGTAGATACAGTTAGAGTAAGAGATAGATGGGACTAAAGGAAAATGGCAACAGCAAGTAAGAGAGAGGTGACAGTGTATAAACTAGAGGAGGAGGAAGTTAGGGTGAGATATAAGCAACTATTGGCAGAAAGGTGGGCTAGTGCAGATATGAGTAGTGGGGGGGTTGAAGAGGGTTGGAATAGTTTTAAAAATGCAGTATTAGAATGTGGGGCAGAAGTTTGTGTTTATAGGAGGGTGGGTGCAGGAGCAGAGAGGAGTGATTGGTGGATTGATGAAGTAAAGGGTGAGATTAACAAGTTAAAAAAAAACCTAGGGAACGAATGGATTTGTCAGTTAAAAAGAGTAGGGGAGTTAATAGATGGGGAGCTGGAGGTATTGGGTAGATGGCAGGAATATTTTGAGGAACTTTTAAATGTAGATGAAGAAAGGGAGGTCTTAATTTCATGCACTGGCCAGGGAAGTATAACATCTTTTAGGAGTGAAGAAGATCAGGATGCGAGTGTGGGGGAGGTGTGTGAGGCATTACGTAAAGTGAAAGGGGGTAAAGCACCTGGAACTTACAGGATCATCACAGAAATATTAAAAGCAGGGGGATGTAGTGTTGGAGTGGTTGGTATTTTTGTTTAATAAATGCATGAGAGAGGGAAAGGTACCTAGGGATTGGCAGAGAGGTATAGTTCCTTTATATAAAGGGAAGGGAGACAAAAGAGATTGTAAAAATTATAGGAGAATAAGTTTACTGAGTATACCAGGAAAAGTGTACAGTAGGATTATTATTGAGAGAATTAGAAGTAAGACAGAGAGTAGGATTGCAGATGAGCAAGGAGGCTTTACAGTGGGTAGGGTATGTGTAGATCAATTGTTTACATTGAAGCATATATCTTTCTTTCAACACACCAGCCGTATCCCACCGAGGTGGGGTGGCCCAAAAGGAAAAACGAAAGTTTCTCCTTTTACATTTAGTAATATATACAGGAGAAGGGGTTACTAGCCCCTTGCTTCCGGCATTTTAGTCGCCTCTTACGACATGCATGGCTTACGGAGGAAGAATTCTGTTCCACTTCCCCATGGAGCTGAAGCATATATGTGAACAGTATTTAGATAAAGAAAGGGAAGTTGTCATTGCATTTATGGATTTAGAAAAGGCATATCTGGGTGCCTCTGCACAAACAGTGATTATGTGTGAGTGAGGTGAAAGTGTTCAATGATGATGAAAGTATATTCATTTTGGGGATTTTCTTTCTTTTTTGGTCACCCTGCTTCAATGGGAGACGGCCAACTTGTTGAAAAAAAAAATGATAGTGTGGATAGGGGAGCAATGTGGCAGATATTGCAAGTGTATGGAACAGGTAGTAAGATACTAAATGCTGTAAAGAGTTTTTATGAGGATAGTGAGGCTCAGGTTAGGGTGTGTAGGAGAGAGGGAGATTACTTCCCAGTAAAAGTAGGTCTTAGACAGGGATGTGCAATGTCACCATGGTTGTTTAACCCTTTGACTTTCGCAATTATTTTTTCTCATGAAATGATAGAAAATCTTTTCCTGATGGTAACGACACCAAAAGTACGAAATTTGATGAAAAACTTACACAATTATGCTCTTGTGAAGTTAACGACCTCGGCAACATTTATGTATTGTCGATTTCGCCCACTTTGAGCCCTATTTTCGGCCAATTCCATTGTTCCAATCAACCAAACTCATAGCTTTTTCTTTAGAACTCCATTTGTTCTATCGATTGAGTACAAGAAACTGCCCATTTACCAATTTTAACTACACAATAAAGTGGTCAGAAATTGGCATTTTGGTGAATTTCATGCAAATAAAAAAATATTTGTCAATTCCAAAATAGAATCCAGAATGAACAATGCAGACATTCCTGGCACTAAAATAACATTTTCTTTGTTCGTCAGTCACGTCTCCAGGCCCCTGTTATAATACTCTTGCTTTCTATTTTGAATTTTTATTCACTCAAAAAATAGAAGATATACTGTTATGCAGACTACTGCAATATTGTAATAATTGTATAAATAATGTCATCCCATTCCTGACTGTGTATTAGAATGGCTTGCTGGACATTTATTAGACAATGACGTCATTTGTTTACTCTTGAACATCGGCAAAAATCAAACATTTCTGCCAATTTGAGCTCCATTTCAAGATCCTTTTCATAATAAAACCAATCAAAAATCACTTCTATTTCTATGTTTTCCATTCTATCAAATGAGACCAAGAAAACAAGAATACAACCATAAATACTATGCAAAAATACACCTCAAAGTTAGCGTTTTAATCCAAAAAAGAAGGGTGCCAGGGCCCCTTCAGTTAAACTGAAGAGTACCAATGCTCCTTCAGTTCTGTCGAAGAAGAGGGCCAGCGAAGCCTCAGTTCAGTCAGAGAAGTATGTCAGTGCCCAGAAATTGATAATTTGGCCAATCTCACACAAATTTCAAAATAGGGTTTAGATTAAACATTGCTGGCATTCCTGGCACTAAAATAAGATTTCCTTTGTTCATTAGTTATGTTCTCAGGCTTTACATATTAATTCCATTTTAACTTTTTATTCACACAAAGAATTTTTATTCACACAAAAAGTAGAAGATTTCTGTTACGCAATATTGTAATGAGTGTATAAATAATATCACCACATTTGTGAATGCTTATTAGATCCACCAGTTGATGTGTATTGGATGAGTGACGTGATTTGTTTCCTCTTGACTGTCTGCAAAAATCGAACATTTCCACTACTTTGAGTTTAATTTCAAGTTATTTTCAATCCTGAAACCAATCAAAATCATATCTGTTTCTGTAATATATCCATCAAATGAGACTGAGAAACCAAGAATACAACTATAAAAACCATGTGAAAATTGCAGATTCGCTGTTTTAAACCAGAAACACGGTTGCATGCTGCATATTTTTTTATATGGTCATACTGGCCAGGTTGTAACATCAACACCAACAATCCCTTCTGTCGAGAGGTTGACTCTTATAGGGAGACTACTTCCCAGTAAAAGTACGTCTTAGACAGGGATGTGTAATGTCACCGTGGTTGTTTAATATGTTTATAGATGGGGTTGTAAAAGAAGTAAATGCTTGGGTGTTCGGGAGAGGGGTGGGATTAAATTACGGGGAATTAAATACAAAATGGGAAGTGACACAGTTACTTTTTGCTGATGATACTGTGCTTATGGGAGATTCTAAAGAAAAATTGCAGAGATTAGTGGACGAATTTGGGAATGTGTGTAAAGGTAGAAAGTTGAAAGTGAACATAGAAAAGAGTAAGGTGATGAGAGTATCAAATGATTTAGATAAAGAAAAATTGGATATCAAATTGGGGAGGAGGAGTATGGAAGAAGTGAATTTTTTCAGATATTTGGGAGTTGACATATCAACGGATGGATTTATGAAGGATGAGGTTAATCATAGAATTGATGAAGGAAAAAAGGTGAGTGGTGCATGGAGGTATATGTGGAGGCAAAAAATGTTATCTATTGAGGCAAAGAAGGGAATGTATGAAAGTATAATAGTACCAACCCTCTTATATGGGTGTGAAGCTTGGGTTGTAAATGCTGCAGCAAGGAGGCAGTTGGAGGCAGTGGAGATGTCCTGTTTAAGAGCAATGTGTGGTGTAAATATTATGCAGAAAATTAGGAGTGTGGAAATTAGGAGGTGTGGAGTTAATAAAAGTATTAGTCAGAGGGCTGAAGAGGGTTTGTTGAAGTGGTTTGGTCATTTAGAGAGAAGGGATCAAAGTAGAATGACATGGAGAGTGTATAAATCTGTAGGGGAAGGAAGGCGGGGTAGGGGTCGTCCTTGAAAAGGTTGGAGAGAGGGGGTAAAGGAGGTGTTGTGGGCGAGGGGTTCGGACTTCCAGCAAGCGTGCGAGAGCGTGTTAGATAGGAGTGAATGGAGACAAATGGTATTTGGGACCTGACGATCTGTTGGAGTGTGAGCAGGGTAATATTTAGTGAAGGGATTCAGGGAAACTGGTTATTTTATATAACCGGACTTGAGTCCTGGAAATGGGAAGTACAATGCCTGCACTCTAAAGGAGGGGTTTGGGATATTGTCAGTTTGGAGAGATATATAGTGTATTTTTATACGTATATACATGTACTTCTAAACTGTTGTATTCTGGGCACCTCTGCAAAAACAGTGATTATGTGTGAGTGAGGTGAAAGTGTTGAATGATGATGAAAGTATTTTCTTTTTGGGGATTTTCTTTCTCTTTGTGTCACCCTGCCTCGGTGGGAGACAGCCGACTTGTTGAAAAAAAAAAAAAAAACTTATCACATAGACCCATTCTCTCATATCTAGGCCCATATTTACTGCTCACAGCTTATCTGAGTGAGCTGAGCTCATCACGTAGTACTACGACACTGATCAGTGATCTCAAAGCTGTAGTACTACAGCAAAGTCAGCGAAAGGGTTAAGTATGGTGCAGTTAACAATGGCATGTAAAGTAAGTAGTGGTACCAAGAAGTAATGTGTGGTTCTCAATGTTAAGAAAAAACTTGAACTAATAAAGAAGGTTTAGCCTGATATCTGTGGCACATCTTCTCAATCATCTACATTGTTTTCACTAGTACGTATAGCTATACTGGTCCTCTGATTCACAATAAAAGTTAGTTTGAATCCCACTATCAATCATGGCAGTTTACTCATCTCTTCACAAAAAGGTAAGTAAAATTGCATTAAATTTTGTACAGTACTAAAAAATTACTGTACAGTACAGTACTGTATTACTACTGGTTAGAACACCCTTATTCTTAGTGTCCGCTCGTCTTCCATATCAGCAGACCAAGTTCACTGATTCAGTCCACAGAATCAGAGCTTTGTCCATTTATGTAGTAATCATGAAAAATTTATTCTTAATTTGGAAGATTCGGACAATAGATAATTTTGTACACCCCTTTCCCTGTTTGCCCATTAATTAAAGGGCTCACTATAGTGTGAATAGCTGTGTCACTTTGAATAAGTTTAATATATTTTACTCTGCCTTTATCATTCTTATGTCTTATGGGCAAATTTCTCTCCACTCCATGAAAGTGACGAGGCACTGATGCTGATGAATTATCATTTATATTTTTAACTTTCAGTTGAGAGTAATGTTTCTTCTGATGAGGAAGAAGAAAAGGAAGAGTCATCATCATCATCATCGTCATCATCATCCACATCAGAATCATCAGAATCTGACTCATCATCATCATCATCATCTGACATTGAGGAGGAGGAAGATGAACTGGAGGAACTCAAGGTTTGTCATATAACATAATAATACCCACATATTTTGTAACTTCAACCTGTAAATGTGTAGATCAAGTGTTTACACTGAAGCATATATGTGAACAGTATTTAGATAAAGGTAGGGAAGTTTTTATTGCATTTATGGATTTAGAAAAGGCATATGATCGAGTGGAGCAATGTGGCAGATGTTGCAAGTATATGGAATAGGTGGTAAGTTACTAAATGCTGTAAAGAGTTTTTATGAGGATAGTGAGGCTCAGGTTAGGGTGTGTAGAAGAGAGGGAGACTACTTCCTGGTAAAAGTAGGTCTTAGACAGGGATGTGTAATGTCACCATGGTTGTTTAATATATTTATAGATGGGGTTGTAAAAGAAGTAAATACTAGGGTGTTTGGGAGAGGGGTGGGATTAAATTATGGGGAATCAAATTCAAAATGAGAATTAACACAGTTACTTTTTGCTGATGATACTGTGCTTATGGGAGATTCTAAAGAAAAATTGCAAAGGTTAGTGGATGAGTTTGGGAATGTGTGTAAAGGTAGAAAGTTGAAAGTGAACATAGAAAAGAGTAAGGTGATGAGGGTATCAAATGATTTAGATAAAGAAAAATTGGATATCAAATTGGGGAGGAGGAGTATGGAAGAAGTAAATGTTTTCAGATACACATGTACTTGGGAGTTGACGTGTCAGCAGATGGATTTATGAAGGATGAGGTTAATCATAGAATTGATGAGGGAAAAAAGGCGAGTGGTGCTTTGAGGTATATGTGGAGTCAAAAACGTTATCTGTGGAGGCAAAGAAGGGAATGTATGAAAGTATAGTAGTACCAACACTCTTATATGGGTGTGAAGCTTGGGTGGTAAATGCAGCAGCGAGGAGACGGTTGGAGGCAGAGGAGATGTCCTGTCTAAGGGCAATGTGTGGTGTAAATATTATGCAGAAAATTCGGAGTGTGGAAATTAGGAAAAGGTGTGGAGTTAATAAAAGTATTAGTCAGAGGGCAGAAGAGGGGTTGTTGAGGTGGTTTGGTCATTTAGAGAGAATGGATCAAAGTAGAATGACATGGAAAGCATATAAATCTATAGGGGAAGGAAGGCGAGGTAGGGGTCATCCTCGAAAGGGTTGGAGAGAGGGGGTAAAGGAGGTTTTGTGGGCAAGGGGCTTGGACTTCCAGCAAGCGTGCGTGAGCGTGTTAGATAGGAGTGAATGGAGACGAATGGTACTTGGGACCTGACGATCTGTTGGAGAGTGAGCAGGGTAATATTTCCAGGACTTGAGTCCTGGAAATGGGAAGTACAATGCCTGCACTTTAACCCTTTCAGGGTCCGTCCCGTAGATCTACGGCTTTACGTTCAGGGTCCAAACCGTAGATCTACGTCATGAGCTCAGCTCACTCTGATAAACTGTGAGTGGTAAATTTGGGCCTAGATATGAGAGAATACATCTATGTGGTATGTGTGCACCACATAAAACAAATCCTGCAGCACACTGTGTATAATGAGAGAAAAAAAACTGGGACCGTGATTTTCGATTAAAACAGCGACTTTGCAGTGTTTTTTCGTATGTTTTTTATTGTTGTATTTGTGATTTCTTGGTCTCATTTGATAGAATGGAAGACATATTACAGAAATAGAGATAATTTTGATTGGTTTTAGCACTGGAAATGGCTTGAAACTAAGCTCAAAGTGGCGGAAATGTTAAATTTTTGCCCATGTTCAAGAGTAAACAAACGACTTCACACGTCTAATACATGCCAGCAGGTGGGTCTAATATACATTCACAAATGTGCTGATGATATTATACATTATTACAATATTGCATAACAGTAAATCTTCTATTTTTTGGTGTGAATAAAAATTCATTATGTGAATAAAAAATCAAAATGGAATTTATTTGTAAAGCCTCAAAACATAACTAATGAACAGAGGAAATGTTAGTTTAGTTCCAGGGATACCTACATTGTTTATTCTGGACCCTATTTTGAAATTGGAATATTTTGAAATTTGTGTTAAATTGGCCAAATTACCAATTTCCGGTCACTTTATTTTGTAGTTGAAACAGTTGACTTGGTGATTTCTTGTGCTCAATCGTTAGAATAGAAGTAATACTAGTGAAATAGCTAAGAATTTGGTCGACTGGAATAATGTAATTGGCCTAAAATGGGAGTCAAATTCGGCAAAATCGCTGATTCGTAAATATCGCTGACACACCAAAATTCACGAGAGCATAATTTCGTCAATTTTCCATCAAATTTCATACTTTTTGTTTTATTACATTCACAAAAAGATTCTCTACTATTTCATAAGAAAAAATAACATTTTTTTTTTTGAAAATTCTTGGACACTGGGGCACCACTTCAGATTTTGGCCTTGGACCCTGAAAGGGTTAAAGGAGGGGTTTGGGATATTGGCAGTTTGGAGGGATATGTTGTGTATCTTTTTATACGTATATGCTTCTAAACTGTTGTATTCTGAGCACCTCTGCAAAAACAGTGATTATGTATGAGTGTGGTGAAAGTGTTGAATGATGATGAAAGCATTTTCTTTTGGGGGATTTTCTTTCTTTTTTGGGTCACCCTGCCTCGGTGGGAGACGGCCGACTTGTTGAAAAAAAAAAAAACTGTAAATTTACTTTTTTTTCTCAGACTCTGACATTACCCACATAATACAGTGGTTTCTTTAACCCTTTGAGGGTTTTCGTCGTACTAGTACGTCTTACGCGTAGGGGTTTTTGACGTACTAGTACGCATAAATTCTAGCGGCCTCAAATCTAGTGGGAGAAAGCTGGTAGGCCTTCATATGAAAGAATGGGTCTATGTGGTCAGTGTGCACAGTCTAAAAAAAATCCTGCAGCACACAGTGCATAATGAGAAAAAAAAAACTTTGACCATTTTTTTGGAATAAATCAGCGACTTTGCAGTGTACAGTGGACCCCCGCATACCGGACGCCTTGCATAACGGACAATCCGCATACCGGACGCTTTGATCGCTAAAATTTTGCCCCGCATACCGCCCAAAAACCCGCTCAGCGCCCTTCGTCTGAGACGCGTCCAATGTGCGGCCTGAGCCAGCCTCATATGTTCCGCCGGTGGCATTGTTTACCAGCCAGCCTCCGCGGTAACATTCAAGCATACAATCGGAATATTTCGTATTATTACAGTGTTTTCAGTGCTGTTTCTGGAAAATAAGTGACCATGGGCCCCAAGAAAGCTTCTAGTTCCAACCCTACAGCAATAAGGGTTAGAATTCCAATAGAAATGAAGAAAGAGATCATTGATAAGTATGAAAGTGGAGTGCGTATCACCGACCTGGTCAGGTTGTACAAGAAACCCAAATCACCCATCTCTACTATTGTGGGCAACAGAAAGGCAATCAAGGAAGCTGTTCTTGCCAAAGGTTTAACTGTGTTTTCGAAACAAAGATCGCAAGTGATGGAAGATGTTGAGAGACTCTTATTGGTGTGGATAAATGAAAAACAGCTAGCAGGAGATAGCGTCTCTCAAGCGATCATAAGCGAAAAGGCTAGGAAGTTGCATGAGGATTTAATTAAAAAAAGGCCTGCAACTAGTGATGATGTGAGTGAATTTAAGGCCAGCAAAGGTTGGTTTGAGAGATTTAAGAAGCGTAGTGGCATACATAGTGTGATACGGCATGGTGAGGCTGCCAGTTCGGACCACAAAGCGGCTGAAAAATATGTGCAGGAATTCAAGGAGTACATAGAAACTGAAGGACTGAAACCTGAACAAGTGTTTAATTGTGATGAAACAGGCCTGTTCTGGAAGAAAATGCCAAGCAGGACCTACATTACTCAGGAGGAAAAGGCACTCCCAGGACATAAGCCTATGAAAGACAGGCTTACTTTGTTGATGTGTGCCAATGCTAGTGGTGATTGCAAAGTTAAGCCTTTATTAGTGTATCACTCTGAAACTCCCAGAGCGTTCAGGCAAAAGAATGTCCTCAAGGATAATTTGTGTGTGCTGTGGAGATCAAACAGTAAGGCATGGGTCACTAGGGACTTTTTCTATAACTGGTTACACCATGCATTTGCCCCCAATGTCAAAGATTACCTAACTGAAAAGAAATTAGAACTTAAGTGCCTCCTGGTGTTAGACAATGCCCCTGGTCATCCTACAGACGTGGCAGAGCGACTTTATGGGGACATGAGCTTCATTAAGGTGAAGTTTTTGCCTCCTAATACCACTCCTCTCCTGCAGCCCATGGACCAGCAGGTTATTGCAAACTTCAAAAAAACTGTACACAAAAGCTCTGTTTGAAAGGTGCTTTGTAGTGACCTCAGAAACTCAACTGACTCTAAGAGAGTTTTGGAGAGATCACTTTAATATCCTCAATTGTATAAACCTTATAGGTAAGACTTGGGAGGGAGTGACTAAGAAGACCTTGAACTCTGCTTGGAAGAAACTGTGGCCAGAATGTGTAGACAAAAGGGATTTTGAAGGGTTTGAGGCTAACCCTGAGAGGAGTATACCAATTGAGGAATCAATTGTGGCATTGGGGAAGTCCTTGGGTTGGAGGTTAGTGGGGAGGATGTGGAAGAGTTGGTGGAGGAGGACAATGAAGAACTAACCACTGATGAGCTGATAGATCAACTTCAAGAGCAAGAGGCCAGACCTGGGGAAACTGGTTCAAAGGAGGGGAGAGAGAAATTGAAGGAATTGCCTACTTCAAAGATTAAGGAAATGTGTGCAAAATGGCTTGAAGTGCAAACCTTTTTTGATGAAAATCACCCTCACACAGCTATTGCAAGCCGTGCTGGTGACTGTTACAATGACAATGTTGTGAACCACTTTAGACAAATCATAAAGGAACGAGAGGTACAGGCCACTATGGACAGATATGTTGTGCGAAAGAAGTCCAGTGACTCTGAAGCTGGTCCTAGTGGCATTAAAAGAAGAAGGGAAGTAACCCCAGAAAAGGACTCGACACCTCAAGTCTTAATGGAAGGGGATTCCCCTTCTAAACACTAACACTCTCTCTCCCCTCCTCCCATCCCA